AATTGGGGGATCTGATCGGACAATTTGGCAATAGGTGGATCAGATCCCCCAATTGGTGAATCAAGTGGAAACACAGTGTTTGTACAACACAGTGGTCTGGTTTTTTAAAACAGCTCTTAGGGTACAGACCAAAATAGGGATTTTGCATTTTCAAACCCAGGCTGGTGTAGGCATGCAAATACCATCGGTGGCTATGACAGGCATTTTAGTAGGATTAATTCCGGCACGTACCATAGACCTGGATCACAAAGCTACAGTTGACGGAGTTACCGCTGTCGTCCAGGGCCGTGTACACCACTGTGGTATTCCCAACAGAGAATGCATCACCCCTAACGTAGTTGGAGGTCAGGGTTACAGTGCCTGAGTTGTCCGAGGCCTGGGGCTCCATCCACGTTGCTCTGGAAATATTCAGGCCGGGGTCAGTTGGGAAACGGGGTAGGTTCATGGGACAGCCTGTTATCACAGGCGGCTGCACGTCTGTGTGAAGAAAGCAGCAAATTGGTAAATTGTGTTGTCTTAACGATGGTATCACCGGTTGAGGGACTCTTCATTTTATGCTGCAGTGCTGTATCTTATTGGTGACATCACACAAGACTCTGCACCTTTGAGATGTCCAGTGGCCACTTGAATTGGCAAGGAAACCACACACAGAAAGATTATAAAATGTTCAACAGGTTTCATTAGGCTGACAAATGTCATATGATTACCTATGCAAACTTCCTCAACCATGCATTACGTGAACAAGTGCTTTTGGTTTGTTTGTTTGTTTGTTTGTTTGTTTGGGTGCTCTGGTAAAAATTTGGAGAAATGACACCAGAGGCAATAAAGCGCAGTTTGTACAGTGAAGTGCCATAAATTCATGAGAAGTCTTTGCAGTCTGAGAGATGGAAGCCGATTGAAAAAAAACAAGAGCCTTACCCTTTTCATTTTTTTAAAAAAATGCCCTCAATTTTGCACCACATGAAAGTGAACCATTCAAGAAACCAACTTTTAGAGATTTTCCACTGCAATCGATTCCCCGCAGTGGAAATCTTAACTTGAAATGTCACTTTTTCAGTCTCTTTTTTGCACTGTAGAGCTATTTCGCAGAATAATATGTGGTGCTTAGTTGATTAATGTGATACACGTACTGAAATGGTTGACAGTACAGCTTTGGAGCTGGGGTAACATACGAACGCACTCTTTTGGGAAAAACTATTTCATGTGGTTAGTATTTGGTTTCTCTAAACACACAAATCTTTTGAGAGGTGAATGCCGAATGCACACACCACACATGACCAGAAGTCATATAATGTACAACTGTACCGTTAACGATGACGTTGAACTGACAAGTTGCCATGTTATTGGCCTCGTCCCTTGCTGTGTAGGTGACACTGTGACTACCAATGCCAAAGACACTGCCCGGTTCATTTGTTACATCCAACTGGACAACTCCGACATTGTCAGTCACAACAGGTGGTGTCCAGTTGACGGCGATGGTGAAGTTGTCAAAAAAGCTCTCCAGAGGCTCGTTGAGTATGACATTAGAGGGGCAGTTCTGAAAAACCGGTTCCTGATTATCTGTAAAGTAAGCAAGTTTAAGATTCAAGAGATCAATTCTCTGTTCAATGAATCTAGGATGTCATGAATGACCACTCTCCAAAATCACGCAAAAAGATTTCACAAGAACAGAAATTTATGTCGATACGTAGCATATCCAGTCATCATTCTGAAGACAAGCTTCTAAAGTTAACGTTTCGTCAAACTATAGCTGTTAGATTCAAAACTACCCTCATGACCTGAATTAAACTTAGAACGTGAAATCATTTCTGTCTGGTTTGCATGTGGCATGCTTGTCTAATGAGGTGATACTGTATTCTTAGCATTGAATGTGTCCTGTACTTGTGGTGTGTGAGCAAGTTTAATCTGCTCACAAGTAGGGTTCCACCCCAACAGTGGCCGGTACTATTCAAAGTAGACGGGTTACCCTACAAGCAACAGTACAATATGCCAATTTTCAACGTTGCCATGGCGCTACATAGCTTTTGAAGATCGCATAGCACCTCGAAGGAATTCCAATGCTCAGAGGAAAAACCAGGATCTGCCTATCGTTTCTTTATGGTAAGACAGATATTAAGAATCTGCAAGTATGATTCCCTTGAGAGCATGTGACAACAGAGATAACCACTCACCTGAGACCACCACTGCAAAGAAGCAGCTGGCAGGATTATTTGATGGATCGGTGGCGATGCATATGACACTGTCCGCCCCGATGGAGAAGTTGGAACCAGAGGGAGGGGTGCATGACAACGTCCACTCCCCACTATTGTCAGCGGCGGCAGCAGTGAATGTCACGTTAGCGACATTCTGGTCAGGGTCCGTGTTGGTAATAATGGCAGGACCAGGGCAAGTGATAGATGGAGGCTGCGTGTCTGTGAGAAAAGAAAAAAAAACAGACATGATAGCCGGACCACAGCAAGTAACAGTTGGAAAATCCATGGTTGGAAGTGGTGAAAAAAAAACAGCAAATCATATTCTCTGCATATAGTATTCAACAATTGTATGACAAAATCAGAGGTTTTCATTCCTGCGAACATTCTGAAATTCCTCAAAATCCGTTCCTAACCGGTGTACATTCTTGACTTGTTCATCTGTTAACTACTGTCATTCACAAGAGTGCCCAATTGAAGGTATGATCCAAATCCATCGACAGGAGACGCTGATAGCCATGTTCATTGAAAAAGGGAAAATCTTAGAGCTACATATGTGCTTAGCCTGGAGTAGATAGATTACTAAATGGTTACCTTCAACAGTCACAACAAATGAACAGGAGCCCTTATTCCCTGAAGTGTCGGTGACGTTGTACGTAACGAGTGTGTCACCAATTTGGAATAAGTCCCCTGGCTGGTGGCTGGAGTTGAATTCCTGGACCCCGACGTTGTCCATCGCTATGACTGGGAGCCACGTCACGTTGGCAGTGCTCTCCTGCGGGTCCGTGGGTGAGGAGAAAGAAACGGGGCACGGCTCGAAGTAGGGATTCTCATTGTCTGAAAGCAAAGTTGAGTTGGGGAGAAATACGGAAAGAATTTGGGTACGTTTTGTGGAAACGTCATGAACGTTCAGGAGCTGCAAACAGATTGCTCCAATAGTAATCACAGCTATCAAACAGGCAACGACACTCTGGTGACCGAATTCATATTATGAAAAGTAAGTTACAACCTTGATCTTATTTTTCTTGGCATGATATCACAAAACAATTGTTGACTGCTTTGATGTAGGACATGTTTTTCCTCCTTTGTGGACGCACAAAAGACCCTTCATTGCTCTTGCTGCATCAGAGTTGCAGTTTTTGTCCACCGGCGGTTGGCCAACTACGGTGGCCCATCAAGTCCAAGAATAATACACAAAGTGTCAAACAAATCTCATGCAACTTTTCAAACACTGCTTCATTATACTACAGAACACTGAATAAAAATACCCCTCTCTTCGGCACTAATTGAGAAATTGTGCATGCTTGGGCAAAAGCTGTTGTCAACCAAAGAAACCAAAGAGTGAACTTGCTTCAAACTTGGACTGCTTACGAAAACGGTAGGCAACAACAGAGAGATCTGGAACATCCTTATATTTGTCTCAGGTGCGACATGATAAACCACAGTGGGACAGTTAGCAATTGTATACCAAACTAAACTAGTCAACGAGGGCTGCTTACCACGCACGGTAATGTAGAAATTGCATGAAGCTTGATTGCCAGCACGGTCTGTAACATTGTAGGACACGTGATGGTTCCCAACGCCGAGTGGGTCCGCAGGATCCCGCGAAGATGATTCCACGTAGAAATTGGAATTATCAAATGCATCACTAGGTAGAGACCAGCGACCAGTGCTGACATTGGACTGCGGATTCGTGTAAACCTCAAAGCCAGAAGGACAGGTCACGTTGGGTTGTTGCTCATCTAGCAACCAAGAAAAAGTATTCAAATTGAATGTCCTTTTACAGATAACACACAGTGAAGTCAACAAGGCATGGCCAAAAAGCAGACCAGAGGGATATTGACAGGCACTGATGTCTGCTGGAACCCAGCAGAATTACAAGGTAGTCCTGTACAGGCCGCATGTGCCCTTAAACACGAGGCCCATACACACTTGGTTACTCCGTTTGGCGAAGGCGAACCCAAGTGCTTGCATATCTACATGAGAGCAACTCAGCTGTCATTAGATTGATCTATATCACATAGCAAAATGTAACTAAATCTCACACGTCAGTGTTGAGCCTTACCGACCACAGTAATGTTGAAGACGCACGTCGCCAGGTTGCCACTTTCATCGGTAGCATTCACCGTCACTGTTGTCACCCCGATGTCAAACGCCTGCCCTGTCATGTGGCTACGGACAAGTGTTACAGGTCCCCCGGTGTTGTCAGTGGCACTAAGTGGAGTCCAATTAACGACGGCTGATGGGAGGTTCAAGTCGGTTGGATAGCTTACATCGAGTACAGGGGGGCAAACGTCAAACACAGGCGGGATTAAATCTGCAAAGGGCCACAAACAAGTCAATTGGTTATATCTTATCAGACTGATATAACATTGGAACAAAAATTGAAAAGGTCTCAAAGGTATCGCAATGCTCTATTGTTGGATTTTACCATCTCTATGTCCAACACAAACCACCTCTTGTACTGATTCAATGTACTTTTTGTGCGATCCTTTAGGTCAGGTGGTTTATGCAAGGAACAACCTTATTTTGGTTTGTGGCATATCCAGGTTTTGGGTCAGAACAAAATGGAATTTTGTTTCCAAAAATGATGGCCCAATGTTCCATTTGAAAAACTTCCTCAGTGCCATGCAACCTCCCCCCCCCGCGGTTGGTGGAACAACTTCAGAAGTGTTGGCACTTTCAAACTCTACAAAAAAATTTAAATGAAAAAAAATCGGCAACTTGCACCCCCATCCCCTGTGGGGGCTCACTCCCATGGTCGATGTATCAATGTGTTGTGAAATTGCAAGGTTGAAGAATTAATGAAAAAACCCTCCTCAGCAGCTGTTTTGGGGAAGAAAATCTGACATGAAGTGCTTAAGAACACGCAATTGTGGTTCCAGAACGGAGTCTCCTGGGAGTCAGGTTGGCAAGGTAGATCTTTCCTCGCCTTCCATCTCTGTGGTCCCGGGTTCAATTCCTGGCCCGGTCCACAAGTGGATTGGGTTTTCTGTCCCTACCTGACTTCGTGGGTTTTACCTAGAACATTCCTCTGGGGTTTTCCTCCCACCTCTAAAACTGTACCTGCTTCTTACTGTCTCCTCTTTACTGTTTACTGATGTTGGTGAATGTGGGTCGTTTGGCGGCTGCCCGAGGTGCCCTTGTATGCCATAGGCTCAACCATGTTTAAATGTATTCATTGTTCCACGCTTAATGTCTTCATTGTACAGTGCATTTGAACATGTCTATATGAAATTTGCGCTTTTTAAATGAATAAATAATGAATGAATTAATTAAATGAGCCTATATGTCTCTTACACATACATGTATATGTATGAAGCACAGCTGTAGAAGGATCAGGAACTTTGTTTGACTCAACCTTGAGTCTGACTCAAAAACAAGATGTTGCAGTTGAAATAGTTGGGGCCTTGAGTTGATGCAATTGACAACTTGCCGCCCTTTGATCCACATACTCACCAAAAATCCAAACTGTGGTGATGCACTCGACAACGTTGCCAGCGTCATCCTGTACTCTGATGACACTCCGATAGCATCCGATGTGGAAGAGGGTAACCGTTTCAAACCCAACTTGCCAGTCAATGGTAACGTTAACAGGACTCCGGCTGACCACTGTGATTTCTGTGTAGGTGGCGTTGAAGACCGTAGGTGGTCCTGCGTTGTCAGTGGCATTGGGAAATGGCCAGCTTGCACTCAGCTGGGTTGAGTTGGACGGCACATATAGTGTGACATTACTTTGACAGTTCTCCACGACAGGATTTTCATTATCTACGCAAAATAGACAAAAGTTGAGGTTTGAATATAATTCACTGACAGCCTTCTTACCCTTTCAGATTTGATAACTACAGTGTTAGTCACTTTTGCCAAAATCTCTCATCGATACCAATGCGGCCGTTTCACAATAATGCGCCACCAAGAGTTTGCAACGCGTTGGCCAATCACAATGCGCAAAATCTGTCGACCAAATGCACGTTTGGAAAGGGTCGACAGATCTCGCAAGTTATAATTGGCCAACACTTTGCAAACTCTTGGTGGCGCACTGTCGTGAATCGCCCGTATTACAGCAGAATAAAATGAAGTAAAAAAAAGAAAAAAGAAAAGAAAAATCCTTACCAAAGACTACGACTGCAAAGCTGCACGTGCCAATGTTACTGTCTTGATCCACAGCAGTGTAGGTGACAGTGTGTGATCCTATGGGGAAAGTTTGCCCGGGCTGATGGCTGGCGTCCATGGACGCGATGTTATTGGAGTTGTCAGTCACGTTGGGCACTGTCCAGGAGACTGTGGCAAAGGGTTCTGATGGGTCAGTGGGCTGACGGATAGGCAAGGGGCACAGGTCAAACACGGGGTCCTCCGTATCTGTTGAACAATGGACAGTTTGAATAAGTTGAGAATATCATTAAATGCATAGCAACAGTATTTTTGGGGTTAGTTTTTTCTGTGTTTTCTTTTCTTGTTTTTTAACCACTACCTAGCTCCAGTTTCCAGAAATGGTCCAGTTAGACAGAATTCACAAGATGAAATGAGTAATGAACCACTCTGTGATGCAAAGGTTCAGTTCGCTGCCATGAGTCATTTCTTCTGCGTGGAAACGATATCAATTGAGAGGGCATGGTGTGAGACATAAATTACCTTGCACTTCGACCATAAATTCACACCTGCCAACATTGCCGGCAGCGTCGGTAGCTGTGTACACCACAGGTGTTATGCCAATTGGGAATTCATCATTGGACGAGTGTGAATTGGTAGTGTTGACAACTCCGACATTGTCCGTAAGTGTTGGAGGAGTCCACAGCACCGGAGAAGTTGGCCTGCCGGTGGGAGTGAAGACCATGGTGTCGTTGGGACATGTATCACCAGCGGTTGGCGGCTCGCCATCTGCTCAGGCATTGAAACAAACATTTATCATGATCATGATCATCATGATCATGATCATCATGATCATGATCATCATCATCATGATCATCATCATCATGATCATCATCATCATCATGATGATCATGATCATCATCATCATCATGATCATGATCATGATGATCATGATCATGATCATGATCATGATGATGATCATGATCATGATCATGATCATCATCATCATCATCATCATCATCATCATCATCATCATCATCATCATCATCATCATCATCATCATCACAGTTTTGCTCTGGAAAACTTTGTGCTGACAGACAGTTCCAGCATATCACTCCATCTTAAGTATATTTTTTTGGGGGGGGAGGGAGCAAAATTTACATCGATGGGTAAAAATCATTCAGTATGACTTTGATGTGGCCTTGATTATAATCTTTCCAATGGAACACTGAGCAAAGGGCAGACACAGATATGAAAAAGTCTGTTGGTGACAAATATACGGTAGAGTGATTTTTGACTAGCTGTATACTGCTGGCTGAGGTAACAGGAAGAGTTGCCGCAAACAATATTAGCGATTACTGAGTGATCCTTTATTGGCAGTGAACATGTTATCCTGTAGACTGTAACACGATTTTTCACATATTTTGCTAACGCCTGCAATTACCAACATTTGCTCCATTAAGTGGATGTCTCACCTACGACTGTGACGGTAAAGTTGCAATATGCAACGTTACCGCTGGAATCCATGAAGGAGAACGAGACTTGGGTTACTCCAAGGTCAAATGCAGAACCATTTGTGTGGGAACCGACTGGAACAATTGGTATCCCATCGTTATCTGCTCCTGTCGGTTGTCCAAAAGTCGTGATGGCTGTGGCTAGGCCTTGGTCAGTCTGCTTGTTAATGTTTCCCGGACAGAATGTCACAGTAGGAGACTGGTTATCTGTCACATACAAAACAATTGAACACATAAAGTGTACAGCCTTTCTCCACACACAAGGCCTGAATAAATTCCTGCCATCTGATTGGTGGACCATCCATTATATCATTGAATTATTCATGCCATTGTGTAGCTATTCAACAAAAATAGCATTATAATCCATGCCGCTGAGGTCAACAGATTCTAAGCCACCAAACATGAAATTCCAATTCACAGGTGATGCAGGCATTCAATCAGGTGGAAATGTGCGAAATAAACAATGAATGTTTGATATTAGTACAATGGAAACAATTTATTGATACGTGAATGTGTAAATGATCCATTCTGCGGAGCAAAGTCAATTCATGAAATGATTGTAAACACTGTCATCAAGAAGTTCCTTTCTAAGCATTTAACTCCCACGTCTTAATATTGAGAAACTCACCCTCAACTGTAATGATGAATGAACACATATCTGTGTTATTACTTGGATCCTCGGCTGTGCAAACGACGGTCGTATTTCCAATATCAAACGCATCTCCAGACTGTTTGGAGCAATTTACCATGACGGAACCAGAGTTGTCTACGGCGGTAGGATCCATCCAGGTGGGGAACCCATAGGGACTGTCAAGCCTGGTAGAGACGGTGTCATTTCCCGGACAACTAGTAATATTGGGCCGTTCGGCATCTGAATGACAATAAGAAATGAAAATTTCCATGACTGCCAAAAATTTGGACATCAAGCAAAGAAGATGTTAATGTTACCTCCAAAAGTGTGATCATGTTCTTTTCAAGTTTCACCAATTTGAATGTCTCCAGTTCTTGACTGTGGACAGTATAAAATGTTGAACATGGACGCCAAGGACAAGGTATCAACTCACCAGTCACAGTCACAGTGAAGTTACAGTAACCGACGTTGCCTGCAAAGTCGCGGGCTGACAGGGACACAAAATTGTCACCAATGGCCAAAGGCTCGCTCACGGACAGGACCTCACTCTCCACGCCACTTCCGGAGTCATTGGCGGCAACGCCAAAATCAAAAGGTGAGGCCGTGTCTGAGCCGGGATCAGTCATCACGGGAGCAAACCAAGGTGGGCATGGGCTTAATGTGGGTGGGGTCATATCAAACACTGGAAGGTGAAACACAAAATCGACTTTGAACTGTCATTCCACAATTCAATACATACGCAATGTACTAAAAAAGAAGAGATACATAAGTGTGAAGAAAACTCATCACAATTTTATTATAAAAAAATTGAAACGACCGAAGCCAATGGGGCAAACAAAGTAAAAGCATAAATACTTCTTAAGCGGAGAGGACACTGCTATCGATGATTTCCTGTGATTGCTTTACGTGAATGTTATCTTCTTGAACAAATTCAACTTGTTTGGTATAATGTTTGTCTACTGATTTCTTTCCTTCTGGTCAATTCAAGTAGAAAAAATTTAGTTACTATTATGATAGAATGACCTGGTTCCCTAAGTATTCATGAACTAGGGCCAATTTCATAGAACTACCTAAGCACAAAATTTGCTTAAGCATGAAAAAACCTTGCTTGACAAAGCAGGTTACCAGCCAAAACTCCATGTGATGTATATTGTTTTGGAATGGTATTCAAATGTCTTTGGGTGAGCATAACAATCACTTAGATTTTGAGCTGGTAACCTTTGCTTTTTAAGCAAGGTTTTTTTTTCCCGCTTAAGCAAATTTTGTGCTCAAGCAGCTCTATGAAATTGACCCCTGTTCTGAGATTGGCATTGATGGTACCCTCCCCCATTACAAAACCACCCATCACACAGAATGATTTGCTTCTCTTATATGATGTCATTGCTTCTCACAGTTTAACATCTCACCATTCACGGTCACCAAGAAGACACACTCCAAAGTGTTGCCCGCTGTATCTGCTGCTGCTATGGTCACGGTGGTGTTACCCTCTGGGAAGGGTGAGTTGTTGGTGAGTGGGGTCACCGTCACCGTGGGGGCCATTCCAGAGTTGTCTACAAAGACGGGCTCGGTCCACATGACGGTGGTGTTGTCTGAATTCATGTCTTGTATGAATACCACAATGTCTGTGGGGCACTGCGATGGTGCTTGGAGAGTGGGTTTTTCCTCATCTGCAAAACAAATTGTCGAGTGTCATGATGGATTTCAGCTGCGACTCTTTGACACACTAGGAAAATACAACTCACAGCTGCCTTGAAAGATAAGTATTTTCACTTCTTTACGCATCTGAGAAGGATGAAAAAATGACGAGCACCAACGCTGTTACATCGTCTTTTTGGAAGGTTCAAATATTTCTACAATAGCACGATACTTCATCCTGTGAATGCTCCTTTGAAGATCAAATGTGATCCAATGGCAAAAGAGACACATTTGGAGCCAAACATTTCCTTCTATAATTCACAGCAGAAAGGATTCTATGAACTTTTCACAATCTCCAGTTTGCACTCACCAATCACAAGAAGTGTCAGCCTACAGACTTCGTTGTTGTTGGCGTCATCTATCGCCACGTACACAATCGCATGAGGGCCGATTGGGAACTGGTTTCCTGTCCGGCCCAGGCCGGCAATGGTCACGGAGCCAGAGTTATCCTGGGCTGTTGGCTCAGTGAAATTTGGTATCCCATAGCTCTGTCCGCTAATTGTGGTGATGTTGAAGCTGGCTGGACAGTTGAGAATAACTGGTTTCTCTTCATCTGAATCAGGGGAAACAGAGAACAGGTCTCTCACAAATAATGACACTTCCTGCAGATTGCCGTGTGCATCGGTATTTTTTCCTTCAAATTTTTCCATCATGCATCAGCTGCGCCGTATTTCAAAAGTATTTGGATCAGCACGCAGGCAAGCGTTGAACATTTAGCATAATGCACGTGAACATGCACCTGTTGGCACTGTATATGCAGCAGCAATTTTCCTACAAAAGATGGCGTCCCATGAGAGAGATCTTTACAAAAAAAAGTAGACTCATTTCTGTTATATTCATAAACATAAGTTTCTTTCCATGTGTACAAAAGAAATTGGTCACTGTTTGTAATTAGAATGGCGGCAGGCACTCACCAATGACGGTGACCTTAAACTGGCAGGTGTCATTATTCATGGCAGCATCCGTGGCTGTAAGTGTCACTATTGTATCTCCAAGGTCAAAGTTACTGCCATTGACATGGTCGGATGTGACCGTCACCGTTCTTGGAACATTATCAGTCACTGTGGGTTGGTCCCAGGTGACGGGGCCATATGACTGGTTGAACGCTGTTGGTCTAGATACATTACTCGGGCATGTGATAACCGGTGGCACATTATCTGTAGGAAAATCACAACGCACAAAAACGACCTTAATTAAAAAAATCTGTCATCACATCAACCATTCAAATACGGCTGGAAGGAGAAATAATCATGAACATCATGATCATTATTTACAATAATGAAACTGGTAATGCCCACTATCTCCGACAGCCTGATCAATATGCCATACATCATCATTATCCCTGCTCATGCAGTTCTATCCAAACTGTACAGCGCATTCAACTGTATCTCCGCTGTGCTTTCACATGCATAACCTACAGTCTCCAATCACATGGGGAAGTATCCCACAATGCAATGTAAAATCATGGCAGCTTCTCTGAGTGCTGTGCTTTCACATGCATAACCTACAGAACCAATCACATGGGGAAGTATCCCACAATGCAATGTAAAATCATGGCAGCTTCTCTGAGTGCTGTGCTTTCACATGCATAACCTACAGAACCAGTTACATGGAAACGTATCCCACGATGCAATGTAAAAACATGGCAGCTTCTCTGAGTGATGTAAATGAAAGTTGACACTGCTGTATAAAGTTCTGCAAAATCACTCCGTGCATCAAATGCAATATCGGAACTCAAAAGACGGTTTGTGGCGTTCATTTTAGAGAAACCTCCAGTCAACAAAATAAGTCTTGTTTTCATTACAATTAAACGATGCTGACTTATACTTGTGCCGAGATGATACATTTCAATTGCAAACAGTATTAGAAATGAAAGCTACACACCTATCACAGTGATAGTGAAATTGCAGTAGCCAACATTGCCTGCAGAGTCGGTTGCATTGTAGACAATGGTGATCACTTCACCGATGGGTACCATAGTGCCGTTCTCTTGAGAGGCCACCGCCATGAGGGCATTGCCCGAGTTGTCTGTCACCAAGGGCTCAGACCAGGTGATGGAGGCATTCACCTGGCCATCAGGGACAACCAGCAAGTCATCGCCGGGACACACCAGAACCGGATCCTCTTCGTCTGTTGGGTCAGGAGAGACAGAGAGAAAGAAGGAAAATATGCTGCATTATGTCGTGTGGATTCTATGCGTATCTGACTGAAGCACGCCTTGGGGGAAATAAAAAGGATCGAGATTACCAGTGGCTGTAGCATGCTGTTCAGACATGGATACGAGGGGGAACTGAGGAGGGTCACTGAGGGGTAATACATGACAGGAAAAGAGGGGGGCATACCAAAGGGGAAATCCAGGGAGGAACCAGTGGGGCTGTACATGTGCCCAACCCAACTCAGCAAAAAATATTGTTGAAAACTAAAAAGGAGAACGTTTTTCTTTTCTTCTTGTGTGTGATAAATTTTTTAAAATGTTGCACCAACCCAAAGAAAGACCACAAAATGCTACTATAAAACACTGTCCAAATTTTTTTGAAGCCCCAAAATTGCATCCCCTGAGTTTGGTTCTGGAACTGACCTTGGGACACCTTTTTGGTCAACCCTAACTCCCTAGGATGTGTGCAAAATCATATTAAAATTGGAGGATTCAGGGCTGTTAGGGTTAGAGTAACTGGTTCATACAAAAACTCCTATTTTGCATAAGAGCTGCCTGGTCTTAGTCAAACATTAAAAAGGCAGTTAAAGAAACTTTAAACTTTTAACAGTCAAGTTAAACTGCGAGCTAAGCGTGTCTGCACATGTATTGTATAATCAAGATGGAAAAAGCTCTGCAGAAAGAAATGGTTAGAATTATTTAACAGACTACCTGAGACACTGTGTTGAAGTGACAGCCACTGGTATATCAAAATGTGATATTGGAATGTTTGAGAAATGTAAAAAAAGGTACTTACCAATCACAATGATGTACGCGTCGCATGTATCATTATTCATGGCATCGTCAGTAATGATGTACTGCAGTAAATGTTCACCAGTAGCCAGGTCAAAGGTCACACTGTCACCAACACGATATGTTGTACCAGCGACATCAATGGTGATGTTATATTGGCCTGCGTTGTCAGAAGCCGAGACTGCATCAGGCAGTGGAAGTGTGACATCAGCAGCACGGAAATCAGTGGAATTAGTTTGATTGGCTGGACACATAATGGTAGGAGGCTCATTATCTGCAAGTGAAAGAGAAAACAAATTGTATTACATTATATGCACCTGACTTTTTTTTCACTTGTACTGTGCAACTCTTTAGTGCAGTTATTGGCATTTATCTATTAAAACTTTGTGATGAAGTACCAAGTAAAATTCTAGTGTTTTCCTGCACAGGAACATGTCCTCCTAAATCAATGCATAGGTCCCAAAATTTTCAAGATTTGACCCTGACTCAAAAAAAAAATCATTTCAAAAACATCAAAATTAATCACACATCAACATCAAGCACTGCTTCAATTGGACACATTTTAGAGACTGCAGAAGATCTTTCTCACAGTACTCCCTAGTTGGGAAAACAAATGGACGATATGTAATCCTTGATGATAAATGCTTCAATGTCATTTGGTTTTGGATGTTTCACTTCAATGCTGTGATGCATGAAAGCATTCTTGGTACAGCTGTCATTTTTCTCATGAATTAAATCAGTCAAAACAGATTATTTCCAAATCTAACTTAGGGCTTACATACTTAAGATCTCTGGTTTACACGCATGCACTTACCTTGGACTGTGACTGAGAAGAAGCAGAAATTGGGATTATTACTACTGTCCTGTGCATTAACAGAGACCATGACTGTGCCAATATCAAACCGATCTCCAGAGTCACGAGACAAGGTAGGCATGATGTCTTCCCCTGAGTTGTCGGTGACGTTGGGTGGAAACCAAGTCACATTAGCATAGTCCTGTCCAGGGTCTGTATCCACCACGATGTTATCTGGACACTCTATACTTGGGGCTTCCATATCTGATTAGAACGATGTAAACAAATACTGTTACTATTATTGTCACGATCCGTTACATTTCATTCCAATTTGCATGTGGAAAATAAAAACCTTCATGACTTTTCACTTAGTAAAGGAAACCAAAGCATTATTTCATGTATCGCAGTATTACCCAGGATCCTGACGATGAAAGTGCAGTTGGCACTGTTTCCACTGTTATCGGTTGCTATAAACTCCACCAAGGTGTCACCAATTGGGAAGAGAGTCACACCGGACGTTGCATTCGCCACAAGTTCAATGGACATTCCGGAATTGTCCGTGACTGTAGCATTGGCAAATACTACTGTGCCGTTTGGTGAACCTGGATGTGTATTATCATCTGCCATCGAGGGACAGGTTATTATCGGAGGCTCATCATCTGAAAAGGAAAAAACAGTCCATTAAATCCAGGTTTAGCTTTTGCAGACCGCAATGATTGGCAACTGACCCACTGATTCCTCTTGGAAAGATTAGATACTGAGACAGGCTTGATTTTGTTTCAGCCAGGAAATTCACTGACAGTCTCACGAAAGTTGCTTTCTTTTGGCATGGGCTGGACCAGCATGGGCCAAGACAGCAGCCTTTTCACGGCCTACAGACTGGATAAACGTCCTCCTTGTAAAGTGACTGAGGACATCTGCTATGCTGAGTGAGCGGTTATTTTTTTCCCTCCCGTGGGCATGCCCCTGACGGGGGGTTCTCATGACAACATCTACTCTCTTGGAAGTACGTTACACTTCCCTTCAGTTGACATGCAGCCAGACAGGCAGGGCACCTTTTGCAGTGATCGAATTCAACTTACACAATCAAATTGTAACAAAATCCCAGCACGATTTCATGAAATTACCAATACGGCCAAAATTAACTATGGACAAAGTGGTCTTAGTGATGGGCCTTTCAATTATGGGTTAAAAGCAGGTTATTATAATAAATACTTGCAATGAAATATCAAGACATAGTTACAATAAGACAACAAAAACAGCAAATCCTGACACTAACCTAGCAACCGAGGGAGTTCAAACAAACTCAGCTAGAATACTAGAAGGTATAAGATTCTCTGTTTACTTCTGTTGTAGGGTATTATAATTGGACTGATTTGGCCCTTTCTTATTTATCACGATCATCATTCCACGGTCTCATGTAATGTTTTACCTTCATTACTTTTTTGGCTAGGCATATTGGAGAGATAATAACTCCCCTAGAAAACTGGTATCAGAAAAGCCGATTGGTATCTTCCCAAATGAATCTAACTATTCAGCAGTTCATCATCAAAAGGGTCACAAATAATCAGGCAAGATTCACAGAATTACAAGCATTAAAAGAAAACTTCGAGGCTTATGAAAGGACTTGGGGTACTCCACACAAGCTCTTACACTTTGAATAGTCTCCTATTATATTCAACAAACACTACAAGTACCAACAGCAGTGATATTCGTGTATGACAGGAAAACTTGGGCGCTTATGAAAGGACTAGAAGTGTTCTACTCAAGATCCTTGCAATTAAATCTTAAGAATAATCAGTTAGCCTATGCTTTGATATTCAATGAACGTTATACCTACCAATAACAGTGACAGTCATGTTACACATTTCACTGTTTGTGGCATTATCGGTTGCAGTGTACTCCACCAAATGCACACCCTCTCCCAGACTCAGCATGACAGGGTCACCAACATTATACCGGGTACCAGCAACATCAATGGAGACAGTGAAATATCCTGAGTTATCAACACTGGAGTCCAGAGAGGGCAAGGTTAATGTGGCAAAATCTTGACCACCATCAGTGGAAACATTCCGGTTGGCAGGACAGGTAATGTTGGGAGATTCAGTGTCTGGAAAGTGAAAAAAAAAATCAAAAATGGAAAATGAGAAACTTGATGCCATGTACCCAACTACAGTCACAACAAAATATACCCCACACCCATTCCAAAATTGCCTCGTGTTTAACAGATTTACCAACTGCTTCGACACGGCCGAGTTTCACACACGTCTGTAATTTAACTCATGAGTTATCAACACAGACAGTGACAAGTAACAATTGAGGAAAAATAATTAAACCCTAATAAGAATTCTAAACACTTATAGGAATGTATTTTGCAAACTCACCCTCAACAGTGATGAAGAATTCACATGAGACTAGATTGTTGCTGTTATCCCGAGCTACACAATTCACACTCTCTGTACCAATATCAACACTGAGTACAGCTCCTACACCACTCCCATCCTTGAAGCAATTCACGACTGACACCTCTACATTATCAGTGGCTGTAGGTTCAATAAAGTCTATGGAAGCAGACGGCAAACCAGGTGACGTTGGATATGTGAAATTGGTACAGTTGAGTTCAGGATTCTCCATATCTGTAATAGAAATGAAAGTGGAAACATTCCACAAAGCATAGGTACTTTTCTTATTTCGTATCCATCAGTTTTTTGGTAAGGCGGTGATAAATAAAAACTTTTCCTGTTGGGTTCCATACCAAAAAATCTGGGAATTACAATGTGTTAACAAAATATGGCAAACACAAGACAAAATACCCCCGTTAGAAATATTAAAGATCCCTTTTATCCCAATGTTATCTCATATAAAAAATTTGATATTCTTCCAATCTTACTTATAATCCTTGAACAAAATGTGATACAAGAACTGGGTTTATTTTACCTTGTACTGTCACTGTAAACATACAGGATGCAGTATTCCCACTCTCATCTGTAGCATTGAACTGTACTGAAGTGTCACCAATAGAAAAGATTGAACCTGACATTGGACTGGCTACAGGTGTAATAGACAGCATGGAGTTATCAGTCACATTGGCGGGGTCAAAGGTTACATTGGCAGTGTCCAAGCCAGGATCAGTACGAACAGGTCCAAGTGAAGGGCAGGTAATTTGAGGATCCTCAGTATCTGCAAATGAAATGGAAGGTACACAGTAAAATTGGGGCTAAAAGCTTGACTGATACAAGTCTAGGGATTATTCAGATGGTTGCAGAGTCTGTTTGGTTATAATGTTGCCAAAAGAAAGTTCTTCGTAGATTCCTGTTTGGCAGCACATGTATGGTTGTGTATGGTTTTCTAAAAATAAAGAATCAAGTGTCCTGGAGATGAAGTGCAACACACATCACTCAATGCCTACAGCGACCAAGGAAGTATTAATTTAATTCCAGCTTTCACTGGTTTCCAAGCTTTTTCCAACGAAGATGCAAGATTCAAGCTTCCTTTAAAACCACTCTGGTGCCTGGTGCTTTTATGTCAATTAACAGCACCAAAAAGGTCAATGCAGCATTTTCCTAGCTGTGCCTTCTGCTTGAAAACTTCATCTGCCTTTAATATAAGAATCTTTGAAGGATTATTATGTTTTTTAGGAGTCCATTTTTTGTGTGTCCCTGTCACAATTGACAAAAGATTTTGTAAGTTCAGAACACATTTCCTAATTTCCAAGAGTGATGAATTAATGCAAATTACCTGGTAAATAAATAGTAAAAGTTGAAATAAATTCCGGTGATATTTCCATGTCAAATAACAAAGGTCAGATGTAACAGGGACACAAAAATGGCACACTTTTGGACCCCTAATTTCTGGAATTACCCTCATACTAACATCTGTATGTCAAAACGGCACCAAAAAGGTCAATGCAGGGCTGACTTAGCTTTGCCTTCTGCTTGAGAATTGCATCTGTCTTAATAACGAGGGGTCTTTGGACGATTATTAGTGTTTTCTACATACAGATCAATACTAAGACCGGCACCTACCAATCACAGTGATGTACATGTCACAAGTATCATTGTTCATGGCAGCATCAACAATCGTGTACTGCAGTAAATGTTCACCAGTAGCCAGGTCAAAGGTCACACTGTCACCGACACGATATGTTGTACCAGCGACATCAATGGTGATGTTATATTGGCCTGAGTTGTCAGAAGCCGAGTCTGGATCAGGCAGTGGAAGTGTGACATCAGCAGCACGGAAATCAGTGGCATTAGTTTGATTGGCTGGACACATAATGGTAGGAGGCTCATTATCTGCAGGTGAAACAGCAAGCAAATCATCTTATTTCTAGATATCATATGCAACTAATTTGGTGCTTACATGTACTGTACATTATTTGTTTCACTTCTCACTTCAAAATCCTCTTATTACAACCAGCTTATTCCTGGGTCTAAATGCTGATATACCGTCGTGATTATTCTAGGATGATCACTGGAGTGATTTCTGTGACAATATTTGGAAAGCACACACTAAACATGCACTGTTGATGACTTACAGTACAAAGTGCTCTGTTTTGGGCTACCTTAAAACAATTCCAAATTGGAATCACCATGAAACATATTCTTATGGTGAAATCCTCATTAACCCTTTTGATTTTATTGGGACACCTGTCAAACCATTCTCAGTTAGAAAACTGATTATAAATAAGAATAGTGTCAGAATAGAAGGAAAACCTGTCATTTCTCTTGATGAAATATCACATTCAGTAATGATACTTCAGGAGAACTAACAAATAAACAAGGTTTAAACTCAAGAAATCATTGCTATAATAACACTCTGGTATCCATAAAATTGTTTTCTATGACAGAGCTCTTCACTGTAATAGTTTTTATTTACAAGGCCAAGTTCGGATCCAAAGTGGTAGCCATCATAGGCATTTATTAAGCCTCTCCGTCTGTATTTACTCCAGGATTATCACCATTGGAGTAATGAAACTTCAACAAATGAATACAAGACTGGATATAATTGGCCATTTCCTCTACTTTACGCCAGAAATGAAAATATCACAGGGATATATCTGCCACAGCTGAATGCTGAGCACTGATCACCATGACAGACCTACCTAGAACATTGACAGTAAAGTTACACAAAGCTAGGTTTAAATGAGAGTCTGTGGCGTTGACAATCACTACAGTTGGACCAAATGGGAACTGATCTCCTGAAGAATGGCTCAGCATCGGTGTTATGGATTCCCCTGAGTTATCAGTCACATTGGGTGGAAACCAGTCCACAATGGCAAAGTTCTCTCCCATGTCGGCATCTACTTCAATGTCGCCTGGGCATTCTATCGTGGGGTTTTCATCATCTGATAAAATGAAAGGAACTTTAGTTCAACCTGTGATAACAATTCAAAGTGATTCCAACTTTAAGACTGTCTGACTACATGTTGGCAAAGCCGTAGCTGACTGAAAATTTGTCTTATTTTCAAAGATGTACATGTAAGTGTATGTTGGAAGAAGAGTATCATCCATTTTAAAAAAACTAGTGTCAAAATGAGGGCAAAGAGTAGAAATTCCCACAAGCTCAGCTCTTGAAGAAAAGTGAAATACGGTGACATGAATAAACATTTTGAGAGAGGCAGTTCCTCCCCAGGCTCTTTGGGGTAAAGCAAGCTCAAAGAAATTTAGGATCAGACTGTTTACCATGATAGTACATGTCGGTAATATCTATTGGTGAAGTGAACAGCACGGAAGAGGGACTCACTGAAA